AGCCGGAGCTGCGATCAACATGTGTATAAAATCACTCTTAACGCTTATTCACACTGGAAGCGGATCCGCGTTCGCAAAGCGGTTGAGAACGCGGTTGTATAAAGATCCAGTGCAATTGCACGCGCACTCGATGACATCAAGTGCGCGTGCAATTGTACTGGATCTTTATACAACCGCGTTCGCAACCGCTTTGCGAACGCGGATCCGCTTCCAGTGTGAATGAGCGGTTAGTGGGGGAGTATACTTTTATTATTCCGCGGGAAGGGTACGTCGATCGGTTGCCTCATAAGCAGGGTTGGGCAGTATCGCGATACAAATGTGTGACGATAGTATTGCAGAAATACTTGTAGTATTTATATTTCTGTATCGCGATAAAATTTTTCAACCAGTATTTGTAATTCAGCATTGGAATACGTTTTGGGTGTATTCCTTGCATCGCGATACAATCCCGGGTCAATGTATCTCGTTAAAATATTCGAGAAATCAGTGACCCTCAAGCTAAAGCTAAGAAGACGGTTTCCTTTCTCCTTTCGTTCTTCAGAGGGGTAGAAGGTGCAGTGAAAGGGACCTTTAGGCTTTGTTATTAAGCGGACTAAGTTTTATTTCGAACATTATGACCATTGATAACTCTCTTCCCTATCTTTCAAAGATAACATCTTCCGGAGGCAACTATTTTTGTAAAATCAAAACGATGAAGGCACTATGGGCACGAGCTTTACAACTACATTGCTCTCCTAGCCCCTTTTACTAGGGCGAGCAAAAAGTTTTCTCCTTCAGATCATCAGCTAAGAGAGAATGATTTCATTTCAAGGCGACGTCTTGAAGTGACCGCAAAAAAGGTACCGACATGGGACTAGAGGATGCTGACCTTTCGGGGATATTTCGGTAGATATAAAACGAATTTAGATGTTCTTGTTACATTGCTTCGAAGTTGTGCAATATATTTAAAAGAGAACTGCACTGCATTATGGATGGAAAGTATTTCCATCCTACTGACGACTCGCCTAATTCCCAGAGCTTTATGTTAAAAAAAAAAAAGACAATTATATACGAAAATAATTTCGGGGTCGAGAACGCCAAGTTCAACTTCAGTGTTTATCTCATGGTTAGTATAAGTTTCTGTTTCCACCGAAGGGCTCGTTTTTCGCTTTAGAAGTACAAACCCAGTCAAAGGAGCCTACTTATTCGCACCTTTAAGTGTGGTCTTCATATACATTAAAAACTGAAAAAAACAATATTTGCATGGTTTAAAACTTTTTTCCAGTGTGAAAACGGTGTTCGTGCGTTTTAATATGGAAAACACGTGTTCGTTGACACTTGTAGAACGCTTAATCGAGTTCGCCAACATGACTAAACGAGCTATTTAAAAAGCGACTAAAGTTACTATTGGACAAGGCAAAATATGCAACACAAATTTGTTTCATTTCTTTTTTACAAATCGTAACTTCTTGCCGGTTATGGAAAAGTTCGCATCACAAAAAGGCTTTTTGTTTTTATGTATATGAGCATTAGTGCCCCGGCAAAATGTATTGCTGTATTTAGATTTTGAGATACTTTTTTTTTATTTTTTTTTAATATATTTCTGATACGCATCGTGATACTTTCGTATGGATGTATTTGAGTATCAGTATTTGAGTATCAGTATTTTAGCAGTCTTCGTCATGTATCTCGGTATTTGTATTTCCAAGTACATTTTAGAGTATCTTAATTGTCCAACTATGCTTATAAGTAGGGCTCCGTGTTTTCGGATAAATCTGAAAAACTCCGAAAAACACCCGCCGGTAAAATTTTTGGCAATTTGGATTTATCCGATAAACTCCAAATAACAAAAAAAAATTGTTTTTCTTTTTTTTTTTTTTTACAATTTGAGCAGCGCAGGAAGAATGGTTCTGGGAAAATAACACCATAATTATCTTTCAAGCCTCGGACCTCTGTCAAAAGGGGGTCTTACGGCTTGTCTCGTCAAGATTGGTTCAGGGTTATATCAGGTCTGTTCTCGAGCACGCGTGTACAGTCTGGGACCCACCAACTGCTGTTGATAGAAATAAACTTGAAAGAGGTCAAAACTTAGTGGCTAGATATGTTCCCGGGAATTATAACAGGCGACTCAGCATGACAAGTCGGAAGGAATTCTTAGGCTGGGGTTCTCTTGAAAACGAAGGAAAATCTACGGCTAAAATTATTTCATAACATTTATCACTGCAGAATTGGTATGCAGCGCGAAAACTACATTTTCCTCCCGCATTCTATCTCTCATCGTGTCGATCACGAACGAAAGGTACGTGAATATAAATGTAACACAAACAAAATTAAATCTTCGTTTTTCCCTAAATCTATTAGCGAATGGAATCAATTGTCTTCGGAGGTTGTTGACATTTTGGACAATGACGCTTTCTTTGCTGCATTGTGAGAACTGTTTTCTTTTTTGTTTCCCGTATAGGGGGTATGCATGTGCGCGTTCTGTTATGCTCCTTTGTATTGCTTAAATGTATCACATTGACGAAAATCCCCCCTCCCCCCTTCTCTTCCCCTCCCCCCTCCCCCTCCCCCTCTTCCCACTGTAATGCCACCCTGGCACTGTGGGAAAGTGAATGAATAAAAGGAGACAAGTCATCGTACCATTCGTGTCACGACAAAAGCCACTCTTTTGGTTTCCAGTTTGGGCCATGGGATTTGGGATTTAGAGAAAGGAGAGGGTATGTTTCGGGGGGTAACAGTGAAAGTTATGGACCATGGAGATTGTATAAAATAGAGAAGAGGGGCAGTTGAAACTTCTCTATTACATCCCTAACCCCTCCACCTCGCGCGGCCGCGGGATAGAATGATGGAATGACTACGAGCTTCCTTGTGGCTACCTCCGGCAGTTTATTGATTTTAAGGTATCGACCTTTATCGAAGCCACACTTGTGTGCGACTTTTGTCGTAGGACAAACTAGTATTGCCCATGACACCAACGCCAAATTCAACTGAGGAAATCTTAATTGATACAAGCTCGTTTTATTCTTTATCTGGCATACGTTTGCATCCGGTTATTATTTATTATTTTTAGTAGGAAACACTGCGAAAGTAATCTCCGAATTTCGGAGAATTGGGGATTTACGAAAAATAAACTCCGATAAACACCGAATTTTCGCTAAAAAATAAACTTCAAAAAACACCCTCCGAATTTCACGATAAAATAAACTCCGAAAACACGGAGCCCTACTTATAAGCTAAAGCAGTAAACACGAGCCGCGCTAGTTCAGCACAACGGTTTTCGTGATGTATGCGGGGCCATGGCGAGGCATCGGAAGGCGGTGGTGGCGGAGACAACAACGGTGGAGGCCGCGCAGCGGAAATGCCAGCGAGCAGAGCAGCTCCGTCTGCTCATGTGTGCAGGCTTGTAGGCGTTATTAAAGAAAAGTGAGGAATTACATTTACAAATACTCAAGGCTAAATTGTAATTAATTACAACTACCCTCCTATAAATGTAAGTGACCGTTACCCCAAGAAGTAATCCGTTACTTACATGGCGTTACTTCCAACATTATTTCATTTCATTTCATTTCATTCTCAAGTAAGAAATAAGGGGAAGAGGGTTGTTCAAATTATTGACCTTGAGTATTTTCAGCAACAGCTGGTTCCCGAAAGTCTCGTCAGACATCTTGCGTCATTAGAAGATGTCGACTGCTACGCTGAACACCCTTTCAAATGAGACACTGAATGGTATACTGTCATATACTGTGCCGCACGAATGCTTCATGCTCTGCATTGTGCTTCTTCGCCGAAACTTCGATGTACTTTTACCCTGAAGATAGAGCAAAGCTTCGTCGTTGCAGCCGTTGCCTGATACTGTCGGAATCGCGAAGCTGTAGAAGTCGTAATACAACTTGCCAAACCTAGAATAAGAATTTATTTGCGTCCGTCTACTTATACTGGCAAATATTGCCAGACGGCAGCAAAGTTGGTAACAACAAGGTGACAATTAAATAATAAATAAGGTTTTGATCAATAATATTCTTCTTCCTTTCACTCTGAACAGGTCGATCCTCAGTTGAGAAGTTGGTAAATAAGAAAACTCTTTCAAAATAACAAACTTAAAAAAAAAAAACTCACCAGGACACTCATAACAATATTTAATTAGAACGTCGGTTAAAGCAGGAGATATAAACGCACGTTTTCCGTGTGTACCTTTTTTGATGCCGCTCAAAAATGTACTTTAGTATGGGCTTGATTCTGGTGAACTCTGCTGCCTGTTATTCCCTTTCACGGTATCCTTGTTTGTTTTCCGAAAGATCCGGTTGCGCGCAAGAAACTGATGATTGCCGTAAAACGCGACAAGGGCAAGCATTTCCGTTTCGAGAGGTACAAAATGGGGGGTACATGAAACATAAGCCACGAAAACATTAACGTAGAGTACCACCTCACGGCATTCGCTAACGCAGAATTGGGATGTATCCACGAAGAGATGTTGAGATGTTGCCGTTTTCACCGATGGCGGCTCGAGGTACACTCTAAGAAATGCCTGCGCGCCTACTTACCCGCAAAACACTCAAAGTGTCAATCTCAGCGGTCTACGAAATCAGCTCAGCGAATGGTGAGGCGGAGCATCCGTTTAGACATAAAAATGAAGTCTGCGCTGTGGCATAACGCAATGCAAAGCGTCATGATTGCATTGCGCAATGCTACAGCGCAGACTTAATTTTGAGGTCTAAACAGATGTTCCGCCTCATCATTCGCTGAGCTGATTTCCTAGCTCAGCGATTCACGAAATTCGCGTAAAATAAAGTCTTCACGAAAATTAAGCCGTTTACAGTATATCATGGTGGCGCACCGCGTAAACAGTGTTGCCTGTTGTAGTATTTAGCATAGTCAAACATGGCATCTTAACGTTGCCAGCAGAAAGCTTGTAAAGGGTCTATTAGGGGCGCATTGATTTTCAAAAAAAAAAAAAAAGGGCGCTATCCTTCCCCGCAGATCGTAAACCGCTTTCCTCCTATGTCCTTTCGCTTCCCCGGCAGAAATACGTGCCGCACTGCACCATCCTGCACCGCTGCGGCCCGGATACCGGATGCTGCTCAACGGAGGAAGAGCACTGCCAGGCGAAGACGGTGCAAGCCGTGCCGCTCCAGTTCCTGCTGGTCCAGCTGAACGCCGACGGCCAGTCCCGCTATGAACCCGCCACTCTGGCCTTCGATAACCACACCGAGTGCGAGTGCCGCCTCAAGAACGAGCCCATCCGCTGACACGGCGGTCTGGACTCCGAACACTAAGCCCCGACTGATGGACAACGTGTCGTGACGTGGCCCATGGTGACGTGACAGACGGTGACATCACGGACGTCCTCCCGAAATCTCGGTGTGCTCGGGATATCGCTCACTCGCCTTTCACCTACGCAATCTTGTCAAACACGTTCGCTTGAATAACCACTTCGTTGATCGTTTCATGATGGGTGTGAACAAACGTGTTGGCGTTGTTCTTGCTGAACCACTGTCACAGGTGAAGAACTTGCTGCATGCCCGTGAAAAAGGTGGTGTTCGTGCGCTGAGCTGCATGTCCTCGCTTTGTCCGAAAAAAGAATGGCGCTTTTGGAATCGCTGGTGCACTTAATGACTCCTTGGCGTACCTGCATTGCCATAGATTATTTGGTGCTATGTAGGTTGATGTGTAATAGAAAGAAGATTTCCACAGGACCAGCGCTAATCAACTGCGAAAAACGCATTGTTACGCACGGAAAGTCGAACTGCGTATAATAGTATTTATGAAATCCAAGACCAACATAATACCAGATTTAGAAATCTCTGCTGGACGTACTTAGGTAACTCAAGATCTCCACTTCGCCTACACCAAGGTTGGCCTCTTGATAACAGAGTAAGTGACGGTTTCGAATAAGATGTTTCATGCAGGATTGTTGGAGCATCGTCATAGCCGCTTTTCTTTTCATTATTGTCCTCCTTCCCGTTTGTTTATATATAGCAAATAGTTTAAGTTTAGTCATAGGCGTCTTGAGCTTTAACGGGAGTCCCGAAAGCGGCTGCGACTGTTTTAACCAATCAGCTAGATCAAAAAGGGAGATATTAAGGAAGTCATGCTTGTTCATCCGGCTAAGGTTCACCGTATTTCTAAAAATAGAGTCGTGGGGGCTCCACTAGAGGCCCGCGGAATGTTCTCACCATAAAGCGATTCTTCCGTAAGCTAGAGTCACTAAATAAGCTACGCTTTCAGAGTATCGCATTCCTTTTCTTCGGCATTTTGCCGACAATACAGTCGCTCTATTCAACAATAGTCTGGTTCACTGCGCTATCATTGGACAGCGGCAGTCACGTGAGTCGCTATCATCATCATCGCGTTCGTTCAACGTCACCATCTTGGGTCCAGCGATCCGCTGCCTTCTGCTGTTTTACTGTTTACTGCGCGCGCACGCTGAAGTCCGTCGCTCAGCCCGCGCTTTTTCCTTCTTATGTCGAGATACGAACAACACGACCTTGATTCGCTGCCATTGCTGCGGCCAACGTTGGCTGCGGCTGCGGCTGCTGGCGCAGCCGCAGCCAACGTTCCCCACTAGCTTCCTTCCCCACTACGAGGGAGGCAGGGCGGTACCTACGCTCCTCGGCCATTGAAATTCCACGCTACCTTACGGCAGTAGAGATTCAGATGTCACCGTCAGAGGTGGTTGGCAGTGTGGCGTAGTGACTAACTGTTCTTGAGTTGCAACAGAAGTCCTGAAGGTAAAGACGGGTATAGTTTTTACGCAATTGCATTCGCTGTCTCTACTTAGTACTTTTTACTGCCAAATGTCTCGGAGATGTGCGTCAAATATTCACCGTTTTGGGCTCATCAGAAGCGTATTAGATAGTGGCTGAGTGTCTAAACTCAAGGCTCAGGTGGCAAAGGCTATAAAAATCTCGGCCGCAAGTTGCGACAGCGCTGAGATACACTGTAATACCCCTGTTACACGGGCACCCTTAACCGTGGTTAACTCAGCTTTAACTGCTGTTCTGTGGCACCACAGTTACCGCACTATACTCTCGGAGAGCTATTTCAGAAGCGAAGAGCACGCGTGCACTGCTTCAATGGGTGCTCAAGATGCTCAAGCGCACGTTCGCCCATAGCTTTGACTGCATAGCCGCAGAATGTTGTCCGCAAGTATTGTGCGCTAACTGTGGCTTAGCGTAACTGCAGTTAAGTGAGCCCGCGTAACAAGGGTTTAAGACGCACTCTGTGCAAACGGCAAAGGGTAGCCAGGGGTCAGGTGACAGCGCCCCCCGCGAATTGCGGCGGGAGGTGGCGATTGCCCCAAATGCAAAGGCTGTAAGAAGAGAAAGAGAGCGCGCGCTTCCAGTCCGGCCGTGACTCCGTACAGCCTTAAGCTGAGACTAGAAGCTCCGCCTTCAGCGCGAGCTTTCTGCACTTGCTAGCACAAGTGTGAACGCGCAGGCGCGCGCAGTCAAAGCACTGCGGAAGCCAGCGATCTCGCGCTGAAGGCGGAGCTCTTAGTCTCAGCTTAAAGGACCTTGGCAACGATAATCAATTGGAATGTTTTTCACTCTACACGAGCTTACTGGCACACCTAGGACTCAAGGATACCCACACGCAACGCCACTGGCCAAGAAACTCCTTTGTTGCGGTGTAATTTCAAGGACAAAAACGATCATTTTCATTCAATCTCTCCTTTGCCAAATTTGATGACGTAAGGTGGGGATCGCAGTACACCCAAGTGACGATATTTGAATGCGGTTCATAGATTGGACCCGAGCATCGCGTAGGCACTCGACTTGGGCTCGTGATAATTGCTAGCTCGAGAAGCATTCGGGTAGTGACCCGTGCCCAATCGCTGCAACGACGACAACAGCCGAGAAATAACAATGTCTGGAACTCGGCGCGTGTCCTGCGCTTTGCCGACCCCAGCGCGTGGCTATGATCAACACTCGCGGCATATAATCGGCTCCAGATCACGTGGCCGCTTGTTCTGGCTGCGAGTTGAGGGGGTGAACGCTGCTCGTTTTTCTTTAATTTTTTTCTGTGACTTCTATTGCGTGGGGTGAAAAACGAACGCGTGTTTCATAGGTCATTAACGCCAGGGACCCGTTTTAAGCGGTATTTGCGCAAAGTACAAAAATTGTTGCATCGCTCCTTTAAGGGTGAACGGAGTAGAACACACTCTTTCTCGTCATTTTCTTAGTGAAAAGTGCACCCTGTCGTCACCATTGCCTCGAATTAATTAGTGTTTCAGTTAGATTGGTTGGCATCACAGTCTTCGTCTTCTTCTTGCTTGCTGTGATTATAATCAAGCACTAAATTGAGGCTTTGAAATTATTCGTCCAATTCATGTAAGTACAAAATGTATATGCGGAGCGCAAGTTCGTCCGCTTCTTGCACAGGGGTTGCGATGACGTCAGAACGCGGAGCTCTTATTGGCTGATCGAAAAAAGTAGTGGGGTAGACCTCAAGGCATCTAGCATTGAGGTTTACCCCCTATCCTTCAAGTCAAACCCAGTCAGAACTCGGTGTCGTTCTTACGTCATCGCAACTCCTACGCAAGAGGCAGACGACTTGCTGTCCGCATAAAATGCAAAAAGACAGTATTGCTTCAGATTTTTTTTTTTTTTTTTTAGATCACAGTTTACTATTTTGATTTACCCGAACGATTTTCTTTGATTCCTAGTTCCCGAGCTGTCGCATGAGTGTGCTCGAAGCTTCGAAGCTGCGCGTCCTATACATTCCTATGGTATGTTAACGTGATGAAGCACGGTTTGCTAAAGCTGATTTCTTAGTCCTATACGATATTGACGTCCAGTAGGTCGTACGGGAATACAGGTCTTGTACCGGGCGTACCGTGCCGACCTGCTAATATTCTCTCAGCGTGACGCGAACTCCGGTCGAGCATCCAAATGTATGTTGTCAACAAGCGCATAGGACGCGTGCTTACTGCCAATGCCACAAGCGCCACAGTTCGAGGTCCACAAGCACGAGAGCTCGAGATCACTGCCTTGAAGCGTCTTCCACAAAATAAGCACTCGCACTAGATATGCACGTCTCGAAGCCAGGAGCGCGAGCTAGCTCGCGCTCCTGGCTTCTTCATTTATTAGTTCTTATTCGTTGGAGTAGGAGAGTAAACTCGAAGAATTGCAGGCAGTTTTGTATCGATGTCAGGTTTCCGGCCACCGAAGAGCAGCACGGCGCTATACTGATTGCTCATCATTCTTACAGCAGTAGAAATCTGGAAAACACAACCCAACGTCAACAAGAAAGATTATTCTCTAATGGGCGACTACGCAGCAACTTTAGTTTGGCTTGTAGACACATTTATTTATATTATTTAAGTACAAGTTGTCATCAAGTCATCTTTTGCATTTCAACAAAGTACAAAAGATGAGAAGCTTATATTAACAATGCTTCCAAGAAAAAATTGACACAAAGTCAAAATAAATTACACTTCCTTAGTTGTTCTTCGCGATTAAAATAATTACAGTAAATCCTTCATGTTGAGTTTGACAGTTACGAAAATTATGCCCGTGACATCCTCGTCGAATGGTCAGTTTTATGAAATTACTCCATTCAAAATTAGTTGGATTTTAATGCGTTAATCGCTGACTCGAGAGGTAAATCGATTAATTTCCCAGCCCTAGCTGCTCGTAAGTCGCAGCATGGCCAATGTTTATTGACGCAGACCTCGGAAAAGGCGTCAGGACGTCCACCAAGGCTAGATGTCCTTTTCGGCCCCGGATCGTGTCCAAGTTGTGACATTTAGTCATTTTGCTTCCCAAATGTTGTGCTGATCCTGGCTTTTTTTCTTTTTTTTTCTATGTCAACACTGGCCACTAGTTACACTTCGTCTCACTTGACAATGTACCGCAACGGACGTTGTGAGTCCTATCAGCCAGTCCAGCGCTTCACGCGTGCCACATGTCTTCACGCGCTGCCCATCGCTCCCTCTAAACGGAAGGTCAGGTATCACGCTCCGTGGTATGGATTGGCTTCAGTACCTCGTAGGCTCCTTTCTGGTTTGTTTACAGAGCCCTCCCTTCCCCCACCCCCCACCCCTTCCCCCTACATTTTTTTTTTCTTCGCAATAATAAACTACGCATTGCCAAACGCCCATCCAAATGTAGCGCTAACAGCGGTTCGGACCAGACATCAAAGTCTCAGAGCTTGCCGTTATCTTATTCAAAAATGTAAGTGATATTCTGAAACTTTCAAAGCGAAAATGGGGACCGTTCCTTGTAGCTGACGCCCTTCATCTCCATGTGTTTGTAAGGTTCGTCGGCCCCCATTTTCACATTGAAAAGTTTTAACAGTTATTTAGGACATTTTTTTATCAGATGACGGAAAGCTCTGAAACCTAAGAATCTGGCTAAGACCGCTAGAGTTGCATTTGGCTGAGCATTCGGCAATGCGTGGACACGCGGCATATCATAACTGTAAAACGGAGTGTTGTGCATTATTTATTTTTTGCACATCAACGTGTGCGTCGGAGTCGCAGGAGGTTAAAAATACGATTCTCTTGTTAGGACGACATTGGAACCTTTGTGAGACGCGTATAGTCCCGAAGTGGCCACTGATTCAGGACCCCATAAAGGGTTTATAGACCTCCGAGCAAACCAACCCTGACATTCATATGAAATTAAACTTACGTGTAACGTTGTCTAAATAAAGACTGTTATCCGTAGTTATCACCTTGGAACACGCGGATCTAAAACGAAGTGCGCTTTGTGATAATAGCGTACGCCCTTAATTACACTTAGCTCTAACATGCGGGTCCTGGTTTCTCCGTCCTCCCAGCGCCCACATAGCAGATGT